TACCATAGAAAACACTCAAACTCACAACAAATATTTAAGAGTGTGAGAGTTAAAATTTTTTAAAATAATAATTTACAATTATATTGTAAAATATATCACAATTTTTTTATGAATCTGTAAATATTTTGAAAAAAAAAGACAAAAACTTGGCTTCAATTTGAAGAATAGTTTAATTAAATTCATTTTTTTTAAAAAAATAAATTATCTATAGTAATACTATTATTAAGATTGAAAGCTAAAACCAAGTTAAAATAGAAATTAGTTTTATTATTTTTTCTAATAATATAGTAGAAAAACTTTTATAAAAAAAACTAAGACTTTCAAAGGTATTATTAAAGATATTAGGAGAAGAAAAAAAATTATAAAATTTCTGAAAGAATATGATATTATCTTGAAGTATGAGTGAATATTAGACTAGAAATAAGAGGATAATATGCTTGCTTTAAAACTTATATTGGTAATATTAAGGTATTCCTTGTCTTTTCTTCTTAATTATACTATAGCAACTTGATACTATGTAAGCTTCTAGAAAATGTTTTAAAAAATATAAAATATTGTAGAAGAATAAAATATTTTCTATAGAAGCTTTTAAATCTTTTTTAAATTTTTTTGAGGATTTAAAAAAAATAGTCCTATAAAAAATTATAAATATTATAAATACTTTAAAGATATATAAAGAAATAAAATAATTTTAAAAATATTTTAAATAGCTTAAAATTTCTTAAGATATATATATATATAATAAATATTATTATAATTATATGTGAATTATAAATAAAATATCATTTATATTTAAAATATTATTTTTTATTTTTATTTTTAGATAACTATGTCATTATTTTCTTCCTATTTTAAAAAATTAGAACTTAAAATTAATATCTAAGATACATGTATTAAATAAATATTATTTAATAAATATAATTAAAGTTTTTTTATATACTAGATCAATAACATTGAATAAATATAATATTAAAGATTTTTTTGAAATCAATTTATTTATTTTTTGTAATATCTAAGTTTTATTTATTTATTAATTTTTAATTTTATTTAATTTCATCTTGATTTTTTTAACTAAAATCAATTATGTTAGTAGAAATATGTTACCCAAGGCTTTAAAATATTCTTTAAAAGATGATTCAAAAGTTGCATCTTCTTCTTTTGATTGAAGATATAAATATTTAGAAAAGGCAATTGACAAACATTGTTGTTTTCATGGCCAATAAGTGACATTGAATACAAACCTTCACAAAGATATGCTCCAATGAGCTTTTTAATAATTTAAAATATACATTGACATAAAATATTCAAGGTACTTATATTTTATATAAATAGTCACTAGATTAGAAATGCCTTCCAAATAATGACACCATTGTTTAAATGAATCTATAATGACAAGATGTTCTTTGTCAAGGAACTTGTAGTTGATATTGACTCTAGAAATTTTTCTTAAATAAAAAGCTATTAGATGAAGTTTAACATGTATTGCTATTTGTAATGATATTGTACCTAACGCAAAGTATAATGCATCTATTTTTATAAAAAATATCTTAAAAAAATTAATATAATATAAGATTAGAGTTATAATAAAAGTTTTCTTTAAAGCTTCAAAATTTTACTTTGACTTCTATATTTAGCTCAAGTTTGTTTTTATGAGTCAAATGTGTAAGTAGATCTAAAACTTGAAAACAATTCTTGATAAATATCTAATAGTAATTGGAAAATTCTAAAAAAATATTGCACATTACTTATTATTTTTGAAAACTTCTAATTTATAAAGATTTAAACTTTCTTAAGATCCATCATAAGACGATCATTTAAAATGATTTTTCCTAAGAAATCAACATGAATTATAAAAAAAATACATAATTTTCCATCTTCTTTGATATCTATACTCTTTATTTTGTAATTGCATTGATTTTTTGGATAATATTGAGTCATGTACTTAAATTCTCTATAATATAAGCACAATATTTTTTAATAATAATGTTTTTATCTTACTCTATAAGATATTCAAAATATACCACATCAATTTGTATGTTTTCCACTTCTAAATGGATGTATTGAAAAAACACTAGTATTTCTATTGAATTGTAAAAATGTTGAGGCTCACTTATAGGATTTATGAATTAAAATTCAAAAAGCCAATTATCATACTTGAAAGCAAAGTTAATTGATTGATTTGATGTCTAAAGATCATGTAAATTTAACATTAATTTCTTTACTTTATATAATAATTTATACAAAAATTAGTTAATGAGTACAACATCATCTTATATGATACCAACTACAAGTTTTTAAGATTATGAAGTATATAATGTTACTAATTTATTTTTTTATTATAAAATATATATCTTTTTTTTTACAAAAAAAATTATATTATGTTTTTCAAACATAGATCAAAAGCTTGCAAAAAAAAAACATCCAAATTATGTAATATTCGATTATGTTGTTTAAGAAAAGATAAAAACTATAATAATACAAAATCTAAAAGTAATGTTTCAATAAAATTGACTTATGATCTTATAATTGAATAGCTTTAAAGTTGAAGTTTAATCACAAATTAAACTTGATTAATGAATTATAAAAACCTTGATTTTATGCAATCAAACTTTTCAAAGAAGGCAACTTTGGATTTTCTAACGCTTAAATGATGTTCAATCATAGATGAAGTAATATAAATTAGTGAAAATATTGAAGTAGTTCTAATCATTTCTATATCTTCACTTCCTAATAATCTTATTACTTGTTGTAGTTATAAATTGATGCATTGCAAGTAGTAACTTGTTCATTTTTCTTTCATTTGTGCCATTGCACTCTTTATTTCAAAAATCTCTATCATGATAATACAACAAAAATATATATATATATATATATATATATATATATATCTAATATCACTCAAGACAATTAAATGAGAAGACTTTAGGATAAATATATAATTTTAAAAAAATATCAGTTTAGAAGTAGGGAATCCACAACTTTTAATATATTTATGTCTTATAAAAAATAAGAGATAATGCAATCTTAATTAAAAAAAGATAAAGCTTTGATATTGTGAGTAACTTTTTTAATATGTCAAAAAAAAAGAATTCAAAGATTATAAATAAAAAAATAAAATTTATCAAATAAAGATGACAAAAAATAAATAATGAAGTATATACATTCAAGAAGAAACTTGAATGGCTATTAGAAAGACAAGAAAACTAAAGACTCTTGAAACTTGACTAAAAGCAAGAAAAGAATTGACAATAATAATAAAAGCTATTTTTCTTGGCTTTGTATATATTATCTAACTAAAAGCTACATGGTGATGTTCTATAGGATCTTTAATACAAGTTCAACTTACAAGATATGTGTCTAACTTACAAGATTAGTTTCCTATGTGTATATGGCCAATATGAACAACTTATACCATATTGTGATGAACAATCTAATAGAATGTCACCACATAGCTCTTAGTTAGATGCTATACATAGAAATAAGAATAAGACGTTCCTCATTCTCGTCAATTCCTTTCTTGCTTCTAGTTTAGTTTTAAGGGTCTTAGGTTTCTCATCTTTTGACAATAATAATTTCAATTTCTTTTTAGAATATACATATTTACTTATTTCGTATTTGTCTTTGTTCTTTGAAAAACATCTCACTTATTTATTTGCATTCTAAGAGTTCATGTCTTTGACACATGTACAATACATGGCTAACTTGTTGGCTAAAATTTTAACCTACAAATCACCTACAATTACACAAAAAGTAAAATCAGCATTTACAAAGGTTTGCCACAAGATATTATCAAATATACCTTTACTTACTTCTATGTAAATCCCTTAATTCATATATATATATATATATATATGTCTGTAATAAATAATATGCATATGATATCAACAATTTCCTCTACATAAAATAACTATAAAATATAATTTGCTTGACTATTATGTTTCAAGCAACTTTTTAATATAATTAAATAATTAAAAAAATATACATTTTAAAATATTTTTTAATTACATTGTAATAAAAAAAATAAAAAATAATATAAATTTATAAAATAATATTTAGAATATAATAATAAAATATTTCTTTAAGATATTTCATGATTATAAAATATATTATTAACTTCTGTTGACTTTTTAAAGTTTTTTTTTAACATATTATTATTTATAAAAATTACAAAAGAGCTACAAGATGTTTCTTAAGATAAACAAAAAATAAGTGGACATAATTACATACATACATAATGACATTGTTAAATAAAAAAAAAAAAAATATAGATGTAAGAAAAAAATTTGTACATCTTTTGTTAAAAGTAAGTACATTGCTTAAAATAAATTGATTATATTAAATATTTCAGTTAATTATTGTGTATTTAATATTAAATTAAGTCATCTTTACTATTATATTCTAAATACTGTCACATTTGAAGCATGTTAATGTCCCAAGATATTTTCTAAACCACATTTAGAAGCCATGTTAATTATATTTATAATATCATAGAATTGATGTCTAATATAATCACTAAAATTAGATTTCCATTCACAATGTAAAAAAGTATGTTACCCTTTTATGTATGTTGTCCTTTCAAATATGTTGACCTTTCACATATAATTATATTATTGTATTTAGAAAAATCAGAAAAATATAGCAAAATAAAATTCACTCCTCCTATCCATTTGACAGGTTTTTACCAGTGAGCGAGTGTGTGTGTGTGTGTGTGTGTGTGCATATATATATATATATACATACGTGCATTTTTTTTTTTTTCTATTTTAATTATGTTTTTTTTGTTAGTACATAACATTGCAGCAATTTTCAAAGAAAATGAAACCAGTTCATGCCACACAAAAAATGAAATAAAATAATATAAACTCGAAAATTCACCATCATCATTCAACCAACCATGACTACATGGACATGAGATCAATAGAGATGCAACCAAACGATTCAACCACACACTAAGACCCAAACATCTCACAATCCAAGCTTAACAATCAGGAGACAAAATATTGAAAAACCACTGCCGCAGAGATGGTTCAACGTTGGGTCATATAGAAGCAGCTCAGAGCGATGGTGATTTCATGATCTTATGGTGGCACTACACGCTGCAATTTTGGTTTTCAAGGTTTCTAGCACACTCAGCGTAATGTCGGTGTCCCGAATATGTTACAGAAGAAGGTCTAGCTACTCTCATTGCTCTGATACCCTATTACCGAAAGCATGACGAATCAGACTTCTGCGAGGCTCGAGCAAGATGGTTTCTAGCCACTCAAATGCAGTTCCGTGGTCCACTGGAGCTGAAACTCATCGCCCACAGACAAGCTTAGACCTGAAATGGTTAGAGACGGAACAGACGCATCGAACGTCGATGAAACGGATGACGATACTGGTTCACCGCTGAGTTCGATGCCAGTTGGTGCACTGTTGGCTCCCAAGATGACCACCGTCTTGATGGTCAATCCCTCCTGATTGGCATAACCTCCACTCGTCACCTTCGATGTCAATATGCCTCTCTCCGCTGACTGCTGTGCGATGAACCTCGCAAACGTAGACCTGCCCTTACGTATCACCATGTCGATGTCGTCACCGTTGTCCACAAACAGCTTCCCTATGGCGTACCCAGAGCGATTGGCGGCTGGAAATGCAACCACGAGAGTGAATGGCGTCTTCTTAACTTGGGCGGATGTCGACGCCTCCTCTTGTATTGGCAAAACAGTGCCTTCATGGATGTGGACGTTGATGGTGTCCGAGGGGGCAGCGACGTCAACACGCTCGCCCTTGCTTTCCACTTTGGACTTGTAGTCGAAGAGGCTGTACCATGTACCCTTGGGGAAGTACCCGTTCACCATCGTCACGTCGGGAAGTGTAACGGGGGTTACCATGAGGCCACTTCCAAGCATAAATTGTTTGCTTATAGACAGAGCGTTGGTATCCTCCGGGAAGGAAAAGAACAAGGGTCGGGCGATGGGGGTGCCTCGATTGTGAGCCTCAAACATAAGGCTATAGTAATAGGGAAGTAGCCGGTACCGCATGCCCAGTGCCGACCTCGCTGTTGCGGCAACCTGGGGCCAGACGTAGGGTTCTTGTGGGGTAGCTCCGATGATATTGTGGGATCGAGAGAAGGGGTAAAAAGCACCCAGTTGTATCCATCTGTTGCAAAGCTCTTCGGTAGCGTTGCCGGCGAAGCCACAGATGTCAGCCCCTACCATGGGTATCCCTACAATTCCCGAGTTCAAAATGCTGGTGATTGAATACTCAAGATCCTTGAAAGTTGCAGCATTGTCACCAGTCCAGTGCGCTGTATGTGCTCCCGAGCCCAAGAAGGTTGACCTGGTTGAGGTAGGATAAGCCTTGTGAGCGTCTGCAACAAGTGATTTTGCTGAAGGATTTTGATTCAAACTACGAAATGGACTAAATGAACAGGTAAAGCATATACACGAAAGATTGGTGGGAAAGAAAGTTCAATACCTTGAAAGAACGAAAGGACGTTTCTTTCGAGTGGCTTTGAGTGCTTCATTCGTAGCTATGGCTTCGGACAATCCATACAGGTTGTGGGAGTTATATTCTAGAGTGCCGTTGTAGTGCTTGACGTTCATAGCAATGGTTTTATCACCAATATTATCATACGCCCCCTGGCGAATCATTTTGTAAGGTGGATCGCTCCATTGAGATGTGGGCTTCTCGCACTCCACGTAGCACTCATTGTGGTCAAGATACACCACGCCGTTGAATTTACACCGGGTGCCATTGCAAAAGTTTGAAACCTCGTTCATGTCGATCCAGAGTCCGTCAAAGGGGACTTTTCGGTGGAACTCCGCGATTTCATTGCCCCACCACGCCTTCCCCTTAGGATTCAAAAAGTCTGGGAAATATACAGGCCCAGGCCATACTTGACCCAGGTAGTTCTCATTCTGGTCGTCCTTGAGGAAGATGTCTTCCGCAAGACCACGTTGAAAAGTGCTATAATTATTATAGGCCATGCTGATTCCTGAACCCACAAATTGAAACTACTTTAGAGTCCTGATCGAAACCTCGGGCTCTTTCAGCAAACACAAGAAACAAGCCAAACACAACCACTCAAATGTGCAAGTTGCTATAAAACTGGGATACCTGGATCTAGAATTAACACATAGTGCTGTCCGTTGTCGTGAAGATCCTCAATGAAGTCCTTCAGCTCATCTTCAGGGTAGCGCTCAGAGTCAGTGGTAAAATCTAAGTAATTCTGCATGTAGTCGATGTCATTCCATATGGTATCCAGGGGAATGTGAGCCTTTTTGAAATTCTTCACTACATGTTTCAGCTCCGTGACATTCCTGTAACCCCATTTGCACTGGTGGAAACCTGTCCCCCCAAAGGAAAAGACAGAAAGTAAAGAAAAAAAAGAAGATAAAAACTCATTAACCAGCTTTAAAACTTTGGTAATTTCAAGCGACGAAACGAATTTACTTGCAAAGTGGTGCACTCACCGAACGACCAGTAAGGCATCGGCGCGGGGCGGCCCACGAGCTCGGTGAACTGATCCACGACATTGAGCGGCGTCGGCCCAGCGAAGAAATAGAAGTCAAATGTCCCTCCAATCACGCGCCACGTTAGAAAATCGCCGCCATACTCGACGTCCATGCCGTTGCTGTTGAGCAGCAGTACGCCGTGAGTTAGCCCTCCGTCCCGCACGTCCATGTAGTAAGGGTAAACCCCGTATAAGTCCACGTCCAAGGTCGTAGAGCCGAGATCGGTGGCCCACAGGGAGTAAGTCTTGCCTTTGACGAGTGGCAACCCGTGCGGTTGAGTCCTCTCACCGAGCCCAAACAACGTCGCAGAACTCGGAAGATGAGTCGAAATCTCCAAATACTGATCTTTGAAGACCATGGAGTTGAAGGAATGAGACGCATCATCATTGAGTGAGAACGTGGCGCTTGGTGTGGAGTTGAAGAGGACCTCATCATTGGCGATGCGGACTACTGCGAAGCCAAAAGGATTGGTGGTGTATGTGAGCTTGATGAGCTGCTGTTCAGGTAATTCCAGGTTATGTTTAAGACCCTTCGCGAGTGGCTCGTTGCGTGGGACAAGGAAGACGGGAATCTCCCATCGGGGCTTGCTGCGGTCCAAGATCTGGATGTGAACCCGATACTGGCCTTCAATTCTGCACACGCAACACATGGTCGTGAGAAATTCCACCCACCGCGACACTGCATAGTCCTTCAGGGTCGGCGAACCTAGTTCTATCAACTAAAAGTCGAGCTCTTTCAAATGCAAGTCTTGTTCGTTCTCCATGATCTTGAATCGGAGGCTTTCAAACTAGATTCAATTGAAAATGTTAACGTGATGAAACATCTCTTTTCAGCCCTAATCTAGTTCATTCCTGCATCAGTAGCTCCAGCTTTCTGTTTGTTTATTTTGTTAAAGTTAATTGCGTACTACAGACCTGCATACTGTTTACAGAATGAAGAAACTGGACCTCCCACACGTGTAACCTTCCAGCTCTAATGTAGCGAGCTAGATAATCTCTTCACAAGCCTAGGTCTCATCAGGAGCTGCCGTCAGAAACCGATTGATAATGTCGAAGTGCGTCATTCCAACTGTATTTGTCACGCATTTAATGTTGAGCGAGTCACGTGTTATGTGCCATGTGTCGAACCTAATTATGCGTTGCCTCTATGCCCGACATATGAAAAGAACAACTAGCAATTGGAAAAACCATTCACGAAGGCAACCACTACCTCTAACGATGCGATGTGTCCACCGCAATTCTCAACCATCCAGCCACCAAATGAAATGCAGTGGAAAGCTACTGATGCAGGAATGACACAGGATCGCACTCAAAAAGAAAGGTTTTCTACAAGCAGGCGTGGAACGAATTGGGTACAAGAAGCAGGAGCAGGCCCCAAATAGAGGTCCTCAAAGTAACAAGAAATTATTCGTCGATCTGACTTGGTGGAATATAAAAGGTTTTAAGTTCTAGAAATTCTTTCGCGCACCCGCATTTGTGAAACGAGATTCAGAAGTTGACGTAACACAAACCTGGCAGTTATCCGGAGCTCATTTATGTCGGGGCCGTAGAGAGTGGTCTGCTCAATCACCTCAAGATCTGCAATGAATCCGCGCCCATCAGGCAACTCAGTAACGGACGTCACCCGCTGCCCTTTGCCCAGCGACGAAGCCATGGTCTCCATGCCCATGGTTTGCCAGCTCGTTACCACGCAGAGCATCGCCCAGAATTTCACAACCAGCATCTTCATGATGGGCCTCTATCCCTCTCAACACCACCGCGAGACCCAGAATCAGCACGACGAGAACCAGGTTCCGCACGGAACCATACGTGGTAGGCTCCGCTTCCTGTCTCCACCTCGCCTGCTAATGTTTATGCAACTGCCAGATTCTGCGATCACTACACCCCTACGACATGCCAGACCTTTAATGTGATCTACTGAATCATTGTCATCCTTCCCCCAAAACTGCCATTTCAGCTTCACTGTGGCATGGCTACCACATCAAAACCACGGACTCTCCATGAAATCGCCAACCCATTCCTCACACGCTTCACGCCACGGCCGAAACTATCCCCAGCAAGCTACAACCGAGCAAGCAAGCTATCATTTCCTTTACACCTCACATCGCCCGGATTCCAACACTTCGTAACGCTCTTGACATTTTAAGGAAGAAATTAGTAAACTAGATAGGATTCGGATAGAAGAAAGGGCGGCGGTGTGACTAGTCGGGACAGAATTGGCTAGCACATGAAAGAGTGAGAGCTACGGGATCAAGACGAAGACGCGGTCCAGGACCAGTATTATTAACGTAGGAATTCCTCAAACCGTCAACTTAAGGTTTTTCAGCTATCTTGGGGGGTTTTTTTTTGGAAAAGAATTGTTTTGGGTGGAGAAATAAGGTTCTGATGTGCTGCAGAAGGAAAAAAAATTGCATCACCGCAATGGTTGAATTAATAAAAATTATCAAAGCAGTTTTTGCATTTCACCCCTGAACCAAGTCCGAGACTTGCGCAAAACCGTCCGTGAAAACAGGCTAAACCACCACTCCATCGCACAAAACCAACCTCCTTCGTCGTTATAAAATCTGCCGATCATTGGTGAACTTGGAATCCATTCGGAATCTTTCTACATTCTTCAAAGTGGTTTTAAGTTTGCACAAGCGCAGTTTCTGACAAGGTCTACGAGTTAGTTGAAGGGCCTGACACGGTTTGGTTTAAGGTATTCCTACGTTAAGTCAGATGAATGCAAGCATGCGGCGGATTTCGAGGAGTGGGGTGTGCGATTGCTTCATCACGCACCTTTGAAGTAATATATTATTATGTTCGTGAAGGAGAAGAAGTTATCGTCACCATATCCCTGAGGGAATAAAATTCCTCACAGTCCTTTTTGTCGGGCAGACCAGACCATGCTAATTGTTGAGAATGATTAGAAAGACACAAGAGTAGTAGTAAGACATACACACAAGAGGGTTTCTAAAGAGAGAGAGCTTCACACACAAAAATCTATTGATCTGGTTGTGTCTTGTATACAAGAAGAGAAGAGAAAAAGGGGAGAGGATAAACAATACTTCTCCACTAGACTCTAAATATTGTAGCTATAGTATTTACTGTATTCTATAGTAAATATTGTGGAGAGCGCCGGCTATATTTAATGATCTCAACACTCCTCCTCGCTCATCATAATATCTACATAATATAAAATTTATATAGAATTATGATCTATACTTTTCTGTGATCTTGCAAGATCAATAATTGTTGCTTCATTAAAAGCTTATCTAGAAAAACCTTATTTTATTTAAAGACAAAACCATAGATGAAGGAAAAAGAGTACAACATCATTTTCTTTAATTATTTAAAAAGAAATTAATTTTCTTATTCAAGAAGAGCAAGTCGCCACATACCAATGCCATAAGTAAGTCGATGATGGTTGCTTAATGGGAGAGCTTTGGTGAAGAGATCAGCAAGATTATTTGTAGATTCAATTTTCTTAATTATAAGTGCTTGATCAGTAATCAAGTCATGGGTATAACTAAAATACTTTAGATCAATATGCTTTGTCATGTCACCTTTAATGAAACCAACTTGCATCTGTGTAATACAAGCACTATTATCTTCATGCAAGATAGTTGGAGAATCATAATATAAAAATCCACAGGTTGTTTGAATGAGTTTATCAATTGATCGCAACCAAATACATTCTCGAGATGCTTCATGTAAGGCAATAAGTTCTGCATGGTTGGATGAAGTTGCAATTATTATTTGTTTCACTGATTTCCATAATATTGTAGCTCCATGTCTTAAAAATACATATCTTATTTGAGATTTAGCTGTTGTAATATCAGATTTATATCCTGCATCACAATATCCAATCAATTTTGGATCTATGGATTGTGTGTAATATAATCTCAAGTCTTCAGTACCTTTTGAATAACGTAATAAATGTTTGATATTATTTCAATGTCGTAGTGTTGGACGTGCACTATGTCTTGCAAGAACACTAACTGCAAATGCAATATCTGGTCTTGTAGATGTAACTAAATACAAAAGTGCTCCAGTTGCTGCGAGGTATGGATATTGGTCTCCCAATATTTCTTCTTCCTCCTTGCATGGATGGTATAGATCATGACCATCACAACCACGTCCAACCATTGGTGTGGACAATGGATAAGTATCAATCATATTAAATCTTTGCAAGATTCGTCTAATATATATTAGTTGGTAAAAAAAAATTCTACCATCTATTAGATGCATAATCTGAAGACCAATGCAGAAAGTTATTTTTCCTATTATTTTCATCTCAAATTCACATATAAGTAGGTTTGTAGCTGTAACACATGCTGATGTAGCGCCCACTAGGTTAAAATCATCAATATATATAGCGATGATCACAAAACTAGTTTTATCTCGTTTGATAAATAAACAAGGGATTAGTGGATTACTTATAAAATTATTTGTAATTAAATAATCTTGAAGTCATTGATACCATATGTGCCTGGATTGTTTTAAACCATACAAGGCCTTACATAATTTAATACCACGATATTTTCTTAAAGCGGGTCAATTTGAAGTTCCTATTTCTAAGCCAGGTAGAACTTTCATATAAATATTTGCATCAAGAGAACCATATAAATATGTAGTTACTACATCCATTAGATGCATCTCAAGGGTGGCATGAACTGTCATTCCAATAATATATCGAAATATAATTGAATCCATGACTGGAGAATATGTGGATTCATAATCAATGCCAAATCGTTAAGTAAATCCTTGAACAACAAGACGAGCTTTATAGTGGGTTATTTGGCCTTAAACATCTCGCTTGTATATTAATACCATTTTATATCCCACAGGGCGAGATGTAAGAGTGTCTACAATTGGACCAAAGACTTTCCTCTTATGTAAAGAAGTATACTCCTCCTTAATAGCAGTTTTCTATTTTGACCAATCTGAGCAACGCATTGCCTCTTCGATGGTTATAGGTTCAGGATCGTCTTCCTCACAAAAAAAGGCTTCTATAATCATATATGTAAATGATTCATCTACCATAATAGATGGTCTATCCGAAATATCATCTGTAGCACAATATAAAATAGATAATTCTTTACTCAACTTGTTCTTATTTCTTCCAATTCCAAGATTATTTTTCATAGGAATTGAAGGTACATTATGTATGGATATATCATGGTAGTCCTGCAAAATGTGTGGCAATTTCTTGAAAAATTATACCAAGATTAGTTAATTTTATAACTTTCTTCTTACGTGGTTGCTTATCTAGTCTACAAGTTCTTTTAGTTGTTGTTGTTATAACTTGAGGTATTGTAGTCAATGGCACTGCAATCTGAGCAAGTGCATTCAGAGCCTCATTAATAGGAACTCTTGTGATTCTAAGTATACCATTGAAGCCATGAGGTGTTTCATCTGCGATTCGCTTTAGATGTAAAATCTTAGCAACTTTAGTTTCTATCAAAGATGTCATAGGATCGAGATTTATTGTAAACGTTACTGGTGCTTCAAATATGAGTACTTTATTTCTTTCTTAATTGGATACTCCTCCTTGAAGATATGAGAATACATTTTCTTCAAAACAACAATTTTATAAATGTGCACGTAATAATGTGCCAATTGATGGATCGACAATACGAATAATGCTTGGTAAATCAAAACCAACATATATGCCTTCTTGTCGATGAGCTCCAATGGTACGCCATTGAGGTTTTGGTACTGGAATTCAAGCACGACAACCAAATACTTGTAAGTGAGATACATTTGGAACACGACCCGAAATGAGCTCATGTGGTGAAACATTTTCAAGAGAAGAAGGGCGGAGGCATATTAATGATGTAGCATGTAAAATTGCATGATCCTACATAAATACATGTAGATTTGCGTGAAGGAGGAGTGGCCGGGTAATGAATTGTATAAGCTTTATAAATGACTGTGCAAGTCTATTTTGAGCATGTTCATATGGAACAAAATATGTCAACTCGATTCCTGTTACAGTACAATAGTCTTTAAAAGACTTTGATGCGAATTCTTTTACATTATCCATACGCAATGTTTTTATAGGATAATCAGGGAAATGTGCCTAAAAGCAAATAAGCATAGATATAAGATTAGCAAACACCATATTTTGAGTTGATAATAATAAAATATGTGATTTTTTACCTGATGCATCGATAAGGACCAAAAAATAACAAATGATCTTGATATTGGATTAATAGGACCACAAATATCACTATGCATTCTTTCAAGCATTAGTGGTAATTCTTGTGAAATTTTTCAAATTGAAGGTCGAGTAATCATTTTACCTTGCACGTATGTACAATATAATTCCATAGAGTCTAAATCTGTAGGCTTTAAATTGTGTCCAATTATACATGGAATGATCTTTCTAAATAATGTGGATCCTGGATGTCCCAATCATCCATGCCAAAGAAAAATACGACTCTCTGAGATAGATGATGTAAAATTAAATATAATAGGAGGCCGAATCACAATTCGGTATAAACCATTTTCTGAAGCAAAAGCTTTTTCAACAACTTAATGGTTCTTTGTAAGAACCAAAACCTCTTTTCTATTTAAAGTGGCAGTCGAGAGGTGATAACCATTAATACACACATCTCGGTAGCTGATCAGACTCCAAAGTGCTGAGGGTGCAAACATCGCATATTTACATTTTATGATAGAACCCGGAGGTAATTTTACCATCGTTGTGCCCTCTTAGAAACAAAATGCATTTGCTCCAGCCATGGTCATCATATTTTTAGTTTGCCAAGTTGAAGATTTTTCAATAAAAAATCATCTATCTTGTAAGATAGTATGTGTTGTTGCAAAATCAATGAGCGCATTATTTGATTCATCATTAGAGGTTTTATCATTCATATAAGCCTCTAAGTCATCAATACTAATTGAATCCATAGATGCATCCATAGTATGAACTTCATGAGCCTCAGCTCGTAATTTCTTGGAATATTTTAATAAAATATTTTGAAGTATGGTGCGCATGTGCTAAATGTCCAATCATTCTACACTTATGGCAAGAATGCATCTCTGATTTTTATTTTCTATTATAATTAATAGTAGAACGTTTATTCTTTTTATATGGATAGAAATGGTCTTAACTATGACTACCCTGATATTTATGAGTACGTTTTCCATGTTTATATAATTTCTTCTTAGACTTTGAAATATTAAATGCATGAGATTCTAGAACTATAGTTCTAATAGGACGAGCTTCCGCATTGCGGAAGAGTAGCTCATTTTGCTTCTCCACAAGAAGTAGATAGGA